GGAACATGGATCCCCCCCAACCTACAGACAGTGGATCAGTGTTGGTATAGTTGGTGCCATCATCCTGGAGATCTTTAAAATGGAGCCATTTAGTAAAGGGGAGCCATTGATTAAATGGTGGGGGTTGTTGATTAAAGGGGAGACACTGATTACACGGGAGCCATTAATTAAAACAGTATCATTGATTAAAGGGGAACCATTCAATAAATGGGGGGAGGGGTTGATTAAAGGGGAGACACTGATCAAATGGGAGTCATTCATTAAAGGGGAGACATTAATTAAATGATTAAAGGGGAGGCAGTGATTGAAAGAGAGTTATTGATTTAAGGGGAGTCACTGATTAGAGGTAAGTCACTGAGTAAAGGGGAGCCATTGATTAAAGGGGAGTCACTGAGTAAAGGGGAGCCATTGATTAGAGGGGAGTCACTGAGTAAAGAGGAGACATTGATTAAAGGGGAGCCACTGATTAGAGGGGAGTCACTGAGTAAAGGGGAGCCATTGATTAGAGGAGAGTCACTGAGTAAAGGGAAGATATTGATTAAAGTGGAGTCACTGAGTAAAGGGGAGACATTGATTAAAGGGGAGATATTGATTAGAGGGGAGTCACTGAGTAAAGGGGAGACATTGTTTAAAGGGGAGCCATTGATTAGAGGGGAGTCACTGAGTAAAGGGGAGCCGTTGATTAGACTGGAGTCACTGAGTAAAGGGGAGACATTGATTAGAGGGCAGTCACTGAGTAAAGGGGAGACATTGATTAGAGGGCAGTCACTGAGTAAAGGGGAGACATTGATTAGAGGGGAGGCACTGAGTAAAGGGGAGACATTGATTAGAGGGGAGTCACTGAGTAAAGGGGAGACATTGATTAAAGGGGAGTCACTGATTAAAGGGGAGACATTGATTAGAGGGGAGGCACTGAGTAAAGGGGAGATATTGATTAAAGGGTAGACATTGATTAGAGGGGAGTCACTGAGTAAAGGGGAGACATTGATTAAAGGGGAGTCACTGAGTAAAGGGGAGACATTGATTAGAGGGGAGTCACTGAGTAAAGGGGAGATATTGATTAAAGGGGAGACATTGATTAAAGGGGAGACATTGATTAGAGGGGAGCCATTGATTAGAGGGGAGTCACTGAGTAAAGGGGAGACATTGATTAGAGGGGAGGCACTGAGTAAAGGGGAGACATTGATTAGAGGGGAGTCACTGAGTAAAGGGGAGACATTGATTAAAGGGGAGTCACTGATTAAAGGGGAGACATTGATTAGAGGGGAGGCACTGAGTAAAGGGGAGATATTGATTAAAGGGTAGACATTGATTAGAGGGGAGTCACTGAGTAAAGGGGAGACATTGATTAAAGGGGAGTCACTGAGTAAAGGGGAGACATTGATTAGAGGGGAGTCACTGAGTAAAGGGGAGATATTGATTAAAGGGGAGACATTGATTAAAGGGGAGACATTGATTAGAGGGGAGCCATTGATTAGAGGGGAGTCACTGAGTAAAGGGGAGATATTGATTAAAGGGGAGTCACTGAGTAAAGGGGAGCCATTGATTAGAGGGGAGTCACTGAGTAAAGGGGAGATATTGATTAAAGGGGAGTCACTGATTAAAGGGGAGACATTGATTAAAGGGGAGACATTGATTAGAGGGGAGTCGCTGAGTAAAGGGGAGCCATTGTTTAAAGGGGAGCCATTGATTTAAGGGGAGACATTGAGTAAAGGGGAGCCATTGATTAAAGGGGAGCCATTGAGTAAAGGGGAGCCATTGATTAAAGGGAAGCCATTGATTAAAGATGTGTTTATTCACTTGCCCCATCCATCTCTGATATATTGCCTTTTAGATATGGGTATGGCTATATAACTACAAAGTTAGGCAGTTTGAAAGGAGTGCACATGTTCATCACATTCAACCAAAAGACAAAAATGAATTCAAAACCTTGAAACCTTAAAGTGTTTCTATTCCCAAAATCCAAAATGTATTACCAGTCCTTAGATGTGGTGACTGCATTTGTTTTCTTTTACAGGCTAATTTCCCTTATTTACACCTGGTGGTTCTGCCAGTAACCCACTTCCTGTCCTAGAGTGACAATGCTCACTCACTGCACTGTATGTAGGAGCAGCGTTGTCACCCTAGGATAGGACTACAAACTACCTCCCACTATTCTCATCTACAAAATGTTAGTTCACAGAAGGCAAGATTGTTTGGTATTTCAGTTCCGTGCAGAGGAACTTACAAGGACACAAGATTTATGGAAAGATCAACAGATATTTTTCTGTACTTGCTGAACATATACTTAGTGGGAGAATAGGAAAACGAAGGCAGCCACCACTTCTAAAGGCTAATACTGTAGGTTGCAGTATATAAACATTTTGTTGTTAGGCTTAGATATACTTTAACCCTTCAGTGGATCCAGAGGAAGGCGAAAGAACCATAAGGCATGATCCAATTTGCTCTAACAGGAAAATAATCTCCCTCTGTAGCCCGGAAGGCAATCAGATACTGAACACTAGTTACTGCACATATCAGCTCCTTGTGATCTATGAATACTTATAAGAAAAAGCCTGCGGGAATATTTCATAAAAACAAATTCTGTATCCAGACTTGGCTCTGTGAACGCGCCGCAAAGGTGCGATGGTACCGGTGTCTCACCGCTGTGCGTCCCGCCTGCACCTGCATAATACCAGAATACAAAATGTCAGTGTTGTGTTAAGAAAGAGATATCTGTAACACGCAGGATCTTCGATGAAGGAAAAACAAATGTTTCATTTCATCTTGAATTATATTTACATTTGATCTGAATACATTGTATCGGACACTTTCAGGTTTTTCCTGCTACGCCGTCTACATTTTATCTTGTTCTTCCTGTAACAGATCGTCGGGGTGACTTTATCGAAAGGCTTGGACGATCTCGCACTTTTGTATTTGGCCACGCTACGAAGCATTGCGGTAAGTTGTCTGCATCACTCTACTGTGATTGCTGGGTGGCGTGATGGGGGCGGGTCCATGACGCCCTGCACTCTTAGGTAGAGGGCTGAATCAAGCTGGGTGTCATTCAGTCGATAGGCGCTATTGAGAATGTATTAAAAAATGGAATTGGGCGTTCAAGCAGCCGTGCTTTATAATGCTCCTCAGATTCATCCTGGGAGTGCAGAATGCAGGCTGCCAATCATGAAAAGGATTACAACATATATAGAGCCGGCAGTTCTGCTCCATGCCATTACTGTGCAGTTCTGCTCCATGCCATTACTGTGCCATTCTGACCCATGCCATTACTGTGCCATTCTGATCCATGCCATTACTGTGCCATTCTGCTCCATGCCATTACTGTGCCCTTCTGATCCATGCCATTACTGTGCCATTCTGATCCATGCCATTACTGTGCCCTTCTGCTCCATGCCATTACTGTGCCACTCTGACCCATGCCATTACTGTGCCACTCTGACCCATGCCATTGCTGTGCCATTCTGCTCCATGCCATTACTGTGCCGTTCTGACCCATGCCATTACTGTGCCCTTCTGATCCATGCCATTGATGTGCCCTTCTGATCCATGCCATTGCTGTACCATTCTGCTCCATGCCATTACTGTGTTTATTACCTCCTATAATAAAGACCAGTCACTGCTGCACTCTCTCCTTGTGCAGGGTGACTGGTCTTGTCTCCGCCTCCTCCTGTAGTGGTCCTTCTGGGTCCCCCTCACAGCTCTGCTCTCTGCACAGGCTATGTACAGCACAGTGATGGTGTCACTGCTACCTTCACAAGGTAATATTCGGGTTTGCAAATTGATTAGGTGCGCACAAAGTGGACTTATATCATTGGTGGCTATAGAGGAATACATTTAAATGAAGGTTTTTGCGCCCAGAGTTCACCTTTAAAAGCAAATTCTGCAGACAAACAAGTCCTCCAGTTTACGTTGCAGATACTTTGCGGTTGTTCTCTTTGGTTAATCTAATTGTAAAGTTTATGTGATCTTTGACTCTGAAGTCTCTCCAGTTACAATAACACTCGGCTCATCCTTTCAAACCATGAAAAGGATTTCGATGGGATCCCGTTCCCTATTGTTCATAACGTGCCGGGGCCGCTTTCTTCATGTCACGTGTTTACCTCGCAGCGTGTTCCCGGCCCGGTGGTGGTTTTCCATGTATATCTTCCAAATGAACAAACAAAATAGAAATGTGCTTGTAGGGGCGTCTCCACCCTTCTCATTTCAGTCTTTGTTTTATGTTTGGGATTCCAGTTGGGGACGAGACACATTATAGAGGCCATGAAGACGTCGGGCCATGCGGTCAGCAGTCTCTTTATGTGCGGGGGGCTCAGCAAGAACCCCCTCTTTGTGCAGGTGCACGCTGATGTCACAGGTAAGTCCAACCTCTGAGTGACAGAAGACGAGAAACCTTATTACTACCATAGGTCAGTAAACTGCTCGGCAGCAAGGGAAATCAATGATTGATCTGCTAGTGCAGGGATGGCCAAACTCCGGCCCTCCAGCTGTGGTGAAACTACAAATCCCATGAAGCATCTCTCTCGGGGACTCATGTCTGTGGCTGTGAGAATCTTGCAAAGCCCCATGGGATTCGTAGTTCCACCACAGCTGGAGGGCCGCAATTTGGCCATCTCTTTGCTGGTGGTATCCAGCAAGCAATGCAACTGTTCTTAGGCTGGGTTCACACCTAGGCGTATTGACAATGCGCGTTTGTCGCGCATTTCGCGTCGCGTGTTTTCCATTGGGATACAGCCAAGTAGCCCTTGGAAACGCGCGTCTGTCGCGCGCTTTTTTTACCGCGATTCGCGATAAAAAATACACGCGACAAACGCGCGTTTCCGAGGGCTACTTGGCTGTATCCCAATGGAAACGCGAGACCAAAACGCCCCAAAGAAGTACATGTACTTCTTTGGGCGTAGGCCGTTTTGTAGCGCGTTCAGACGGGCTGAAATACGGAAAGGTGTGAACCATGCCCATAGAAAACAATGGGATTTTCAAGTTTGTACGTTTTGTAGAGCGTTCATAGAGCGTTGAACGCGCGACAAAACGTAAAGGTGTGAACAGGGCCTAAAAGTCCCACTCCTATATAAAAAATAAAATCCCTGAATAGGTTTGAATGAAAAAAAAAAAAAATGGCGTCTTATTGCAATGCTTATTTATTACAGGTACCGACATGTACACAGTGCTTTACATTCAGATCAGTCCCTGCCCTCAAGGAGCGTAGGTCTCTACATCACATGCATGCATACACATACTGGGGCCAATGACCCTTCCAGCATGTCTGTGGAGTGTAGGAGGATACCAAGCAAGTGTAGTGAGAACATGCACATACACTGAGTGGCGGGATTATTATATACACTGAGTGGCCAGATTATTATGACCACCTGACCTTTGTAGGCAAATTAGCTATAATTTGGCGCTGAAGTTGCTAGAGGGCCGGACCATTATAAATAGGGAAGCAGGTCGGTTACCACGACAGTAGAAGTGATTTGTTTCTGAAGATTCGGGGAAACAACGCGATGTAACAGCCTTTGAACGCGGGATGATTGTTGGCGCTCGGAGCCATGGAGCGAGTATCAGCAAAACAGCAGAATTCGTTACATGTTCAAGAGCAGCTCATTGTTAAAGTGTTTAAAGACCGGACTGCCAGCCGAAAATCTGGGTCTGAACGTGCGAATTGTGGCCGTCAGCGACTAGTCAATGTTAGGGCAGAACGGGGGAGGGGCAAGACTGGTACAAGACAACAGAAGGGCAACAGTGCCGTGTCAGATTCCTCGCATCACCTTTCACCATCTCGTGGAGTCACGAAGTACTGATGGGGTGGTCATAATAATCTGGCCACTCAGTGTATAGTATCCTGGCTGAGATTTAAACCAAGGACCCGGTGCTGCAAGGCAGACCTGCTAATCACTAAAGCACTTTGCTTGTGCTGTTTCTGTCTCCCTATAGACTCACAGCTACATAGTCCAGCTCCAGTCCCCCTTTAGGTGAAATGAGGCCCAGCATCATTCAACTCACTTCCTGTGACTTCAGAGTGTCATGGACACCCCCCCTCCCGAGGCTGTGCATCCTCATGCTGACTGGCCAGAGATAATAGCAAGGGACGCTTTATGCAAATCTCCACAATTCTGCCTCCAGAGCCTCCTTATTGGTTCTTTTATTGTAATGGCCTGCTTCGGTAATCAATAGAAGGTCCCCAGGAGGGTGGGGTTAGGCTTGACTGTGATAAGAAAAGTCGATATTGGCATACAACCTCATCCAATGTCTCTGCAATTAGGGTTCATTCACATAATCGCGTTGCAGTATGCACCAAGCAGGCTGCAGTGCACTGTGGTGCCATTCAATAAATGCGTCTCTGTATTACGGCATTGTCAGCACTACTGGCCAGTTATCTCTATATTGTAATAAGTAGTGGTCAGTTCACCGCTGCGAACTATAGAAACCCACCACCACCCATGTTATAGAGATGGAGGACTTCTGTACAGGGCCGGATTAACATAGGGGCTATTGGAGCGCTGAAAATAGGCCCAGCCAGCCAGGATCACCTTGGTATGCCCAATGGCGATCTGGGCCGGCCGGACAGGCGGAGGCACCAGCGGCTCCCTAATCGGGGAGGAGGCTCCAGGAGCGAGCAGCCACCTAATTAGAGAGCAGCCTCTGGTGCTTCCCGTCCGACCAACCGACAGCACCAGGCCCATGATGCTCTTAATCTGGCCCTGCTTCTGTAGTCCCCTACGCCTCCTGTCCATGTACAACAATAATGCTTCTCCATAGATACAGTACGGTTAGTGAGCATTGTCACCCTAGGACAGGAAGTGTGTTACTGGCAGGATCTCCAGATGACAATAAAGAAAGCCTGAAGAAAAAAAGAAAACTAATGCAGCCACCACATCTAAGGACTGTTTTGGGGTTTAGATACATATTAAAGGAGAACTATGGGGTCAGTGTTTTTCCCCATAGTTCTCCTTAGGGTAACGGGAGGACACAAACTAGCGTCCTCCCAGCACCCTAGGCTCAGTATACTGCGAGCTACAGCTTGCGGTATACTGAGACGCTGCAGCTGGAGCATATCCCGACGTAGATGACGGGATCTGCCCAGCTGCGTGAGTGACAGATGGCTCTGCCTATCTAGAGAATAATAATGTAGAAAATGTATATAAGGTCATCTGAGATGTATGTTGTTGTAAATAATAGATGGCTATCACTTGCTGACGGATCAATCCCGGAGCAGGTGACACGTGACATGTTCTAAATCTTCCCTTCCATTTATACAAAGCCGACTATAAAGGGGGTAAACCCTCTATTACTGGTTGAGTCTGGGCAGGTTGGTTGGACTTGATAAGTACCACCTCGGATTGCTGGTATCTCCCAAATGGCTTGCTTATACCGTAGACCAAGGGTAGGCCAACTCCAGCCCTTCAGCTGCAACTACAAATCCCATGAGGCATTACAAGACTCTGACAGCCACTGATATGGCTCCCAGAGGCAGATACACGATGGAATTTGTAGTTTCACACACACCCATCAATATGGTGTGACTATCTCCAAGGACTAGTGAATTCAAGGACTTGGGCAAAAAGATGCATAAATGGACCTTTATCAGGACTACGTCCACAAAAAGAACCTGGTACAAAAGTTTTGTTCCCCCCAAGAAGTAGAACCAGTGGAGAATATTATGGCCTCCACGGAGGGCTGTCCCGATGCCGGGTGTCACCCGGTCTCTAGGCCCCGCCGTGTCATCATGGCGCGCGCACGGGACGTCAGCTCGCGCAACCATCTGCGCGAACATGACCGAGTGCCCGACTTTTTAGAGGGGGTGACACCAAAATGACTGTCAGTCATTTTGATGTCACCTCTGCAATGGTAACACCCGGGTGCGGGCCGCACCCCCCATGTGACACCACTGCCTCCACGCAGAATGCGATCACGCTCAATTCTCATCGGGGTGGAAGGTTTCCTGAGTGTCCTACGTTGTGTTGTGGCTAGGGTATAGTAACAGTAAGTGGGGAAGCAAAACATTCTGTCACCCAGGGCAAATGCTCAGAGTTAAAAAAAAAAAAGAAAAGGCTAGTTGCACTCCTTACCGGTATGACCCCGTGATCGGGGAGGGGTGCTCGGAATGACTGCGGATGGCGCCGCCAAATACAGATAATTGCAGAAACGTCACCAGCACACCAAATCCTTATAGGATCAAAGTTCGTAGGTTTTATTGCAAACTCATGTCAGTTACACAAGCGCATTCGGGGCCACACAGGGTCCCTTCATCAGGCATAGCAATGAGCAATGTGTGGCCCCGAAAGCGCTTGTGTAACTGACATGAGTCTGCAATAAAATCTACGAACTTTGATCCTATAAGGATTTGGTGTGCTGGTGACAGGATGCCCTTGAAGGCTTATTCTTTAACAAAAACTTGACTTTTATGGACCATACAATTACACCATCAACACGCGGTGCCGAAATGGCCACTTCTTCAGGAAGGTGCATGGAGCACTTCAAAGGAGAACTATGAGGGGGGAGGGGCTTTTCACTCACCTCATAGTTCTAGCCGACGTGTGACAATGAGACTTTCACAGGTCGGCTCAGTAAATAGGGAGTTGAGCGAACACATACCGGCGTTCGCTCACCTCTCGATCCTGTCACGGCTCTCTGCCGTGACAGGGGAGGGGCTGGATTCCCCTCTCCCCGCTCCGATCCGCCAGCGCTGACTGGAGGAACGGACGGGGGAGGGGGCGGGTACAGCTGGCTCTGCCTCTAGATACGCAGTATACTGAGCCTAGGGTGACGGGAGGACGCTAGTTTGTGCCCTCCCATTACTCTAAGGAGAACTATGGGGAAAAGCCTTAACCCCATAGTTCTCCTTTTAAGCCTACATGGAACTGTATACAGAGGGACATTTCCCCATCAAGGCTTACCATGGTGAGGAAATCACTTTCCACAAATAGTTCCCTGCCTGTGTAAAGTGCTCCATGAACCTTCCTGAAGAAGCGGCCATTTTAGCACCATGCCACGTGTTGTTGTTCCTCGCCATCCCCATATACAGGACTGATCAAAAGCTGTAATAGTGTTTTGTTTTGTTTTAAACTCTGTGACACCATATGAAGCCGACAGCTCTCGGTCACTGATAACTATCCAGAGTTGGGGATAAGCTCCTGATCATGTGATTGGCTGCCACAATGATCACTTGATCAGAAACCCATCCCCACCTCCCGTTGTAAGGATTCTTTTAAAGGGCCAGCAGCAAGGGGTTAAGGATGGAGGGGTCACATTAGGTGCCGGGTATCAATCCCAAATTTCCAGCCACTCTCAAAGAAAATAAACCGAATAAAATAATCTCTCTGTATTTTTTTCTTTTCTTGAACTCCTATCAGCTCCTCA